AACTTAAGGGATTGTTTGAAGATTGAATAACAAGTATTTCTACTTGAAACGTATGCTTCAAAATATTTTTAAACAATTTTGCCTCATTATATATTAGAGTAATCGTTTCTAAATATCCGACAAGATGGCGAAAGCAACATGGCGGATCCACGATGGCGTGTGGATATTAGTGAAGATATATTGTCTTTTTAGCGATGGCGTCTAAATTAACTGTTGGCTGTGAATCTAATGTTATTTTCTTCTTCTACTAGTGAGAATTTTGCGAGGAAAGACATGAAACAAATATTTCAGAATTTTACGCTTACAGTAAGTACATTTAGCGTTGCCATGGAAAAAATCTTAGAAACTCAAATAATTCTGAACTCAGTAGTTAAAAACTCATCTGGAAGAAACCTCTATCATTTTTTTATACATAAAACACCCTTCAAGAACGGTTAACGCGCTTGCAAAGAATAGTGTTAGGCAGTTATCGTTTGTTTTCTGTCAATTCTTTACTTAGGAGTGGCGTCACTTGATCACGTGAAAATACCTGTTCAGCTACTCATTGGGCACTGCTATCATACATAATATTAAACTAGAGTGACTGCCGTTTTCAAAAGTCTATGATAGCATTTTTTCCCCCGTACTGAAAGCCCATTTTTTTTGGGCCCTGGCCTATGGACTAAATGAAGGCTAGACTTTTTAAGTAACAATTTTTAGGTGACAGTTTTTTTTGTTTGTGTTAAAGGACTCCTAACTGGTTTTGTATGTGTTGTTTTTGTGTTTCTCGGACACCTTTTGTATTCCTTAGGGTGAATTTCATGAACTATGAGGCAGGTCAACATATTATGCAATCAATTTTGCTCACTGCTATTATATTTGCAAGCCCTGTGCGCAACTTGCGAAACATTACGCCCAGTACATGGTAAAACATCGAATAATGTATATTCACGAGATATTTATGTAACTCTGAGATAATGCTATCAATCAAGAATGGTATTAAATGCTTTAAACCATTTTGCTTTTTAGTTCTTCACTCTGTTTCCACCTTTAAAGTAAAACTAAAAGAACTACATGAGAAGCTGCAGGAAATGAGGATAAAAGGTGAATAGAAAATGCACATTAAGGGAGAAAATGATTTTTGTACAATAGCTGTAGAAATTTCAGTGCGCTCATTGGACAAGAACTATTATCAATGCAGTTTTTTTTTTTACCACAATTGGCATTAATGTCGCATTCTGATTGGCCAATTTTCTGTTGTCGCTAAGAGAAAGTCACCATTGGTGAAATCATTATCTGGTAAATAGTGCAGTAGATTTTAAGACTTACTTGCTGAGTAGCATTTATTCGTTGGATATAGCGTTATTCACCTTTCGAACCGCCGGGACCTGACTGCTATTAAACACTTCCGGTTCTTAATTATCGAATTATCTTTTACCACGGAAGTCTCCTTCTAATGCAATAATTATTAACGACCACTATTCTCATTGGCGGCCTAAAAGACATCATTAAGATTCCTCTTTTGGCACCCAGCACTTTGCTGGGGGACTGTTCTCACCAGCAGCAAATCTTGGCCTCGATCCCAGCCATCAGCCCCTATGTAGGGAGGAAACAAACAGTCCCACTGCACTAGAAAATAAACATGATAAAAGAAAAGAAAAAAGGCCAGGTAAAAATGAATTTCCTCTGAGTGCGTGTTAAAAGATAACTGGCTTCGTAGAGTAAGCTCATTCTGGTCCTAGAAATTTCAACCTTTCCCACTTATGCAACATTACAGGTACTGTGATATGTTACGCGCAGTTTGCATGGTGCGCGCGTGTAGTGCTTGGAATTTGCACGCACATGAAGTGTGTGGTACTTAAGTAAGTCGGATTCAACTCTGGCATTTTTTACCAGTTTTTCCTTAGCATTATTGACAATATCCACTTACACCCGTTGATGTGTTAAGGCCCTGCAAGGGTCACAAATTGCTCAAATTCAGAACACGGTGTATACATGCAGCTTGTAGCTTGGATTTTGTTTGACGAACATTAGGGAGCCTTTGCTGAGGCAACATCAGAGTGACAATTACCACACCATACTACCAGTGGTTATAGCTGTGGCATAGAGCTGTTTCAACAGTACATATAGTACTAATGCATTTCAGTGACCTGAAGAAGTGTCTCAGTGGAGTTAACCGTTATTTGTAAAACGGCAAAAGAATTTAGCTGTTCGGCGCAAATATCGACAAAGTTTCATCATAAGTCATAAAAAGGGTTAACCGAAGAATTTTTTCTTTTAAACTGCTTAAAAGGAAGATAAACCATTTGCCATAAAATGGCGAAAATTTGAACTGTTAGCCGTGAGAGCCATCACTCCATTGAGATCTTTGTGTAGCTCATGCTACTATTGCAACTAATGTTCTAAGTCACCAAAAGAATTAATGATCAGCTATGTATCAGAATTCCGGATATAACAACAACGGATTCACACTTCTTGAATGCAAAGATTATGTAAAACTTTTGGGTGTACTAATTGAAAAGAACTTAACCTGGAAGCCTCATATTGATCATATTGCTTCAAAGATTAGCAAAATAGTCGGCATAATTGCTAGGCTTAGACATCATGTGCCTTTAAATACCCTTCAAATTTAGCGTTCGCTGATTTTTCCCTACACGCTCTACGGTATAGCTGCTTGGGGTCAGGCAGCTCAGAGTGTTTTAAAAAAGATTCTCACCTTACAAAAGCTTGCACTCCGTTTTGTTTTCTTTTCCAGCAAAATATCTCATGCTATCCCTCTTTTTATAACTTCGAGTATCCTACCATTAATATGCTCTATTTTGAAACCGTTTCCGCCATAATGCATGATGTTTCTACTAGCTCTACACCAAGGAATATTCGTGAACTTTTTATTAATTCATCTGACGTCCATAAATATAATACGCGTTTCTCTTCCACAGAGTATTTTTATGTACAGAAATCTAGATTGCATGTGAAATTTAAGTCTTTTTCTTCGTTTGGTACGAGGCTATGGAACTGTCTAAAGCCTGACTTGCGTAAGCTCACGAAAAGAGCATTTAAAAGGAAAATTCATAAGTTGCTTTTGACTATACTTGGGATTGAGGACTATTATGTTGACACCCATTCACTAATATTGAAATTCAATACCAATGATTATCGAATATTATAACTGTTGTACTTCGCTCACATCCGTATGTCACAATTTTCTCCTCTCTACTTTCCAGTCTGCTCTGCCTGTATTTGATTATTATGTCTCGTTTAACTCACTAGTAATTTTATTGTACTTAATTTGTATGACAACTGTGCGTATCTTTTAGCTTCTAATATAGTAAAGTAATGCATAGGTTATAATTGCAGTAATATTGTAGTAGTAACGAAATCTCTTTAGCCTACAATGTGCAGTATTTACTGATTTAATTACTAATACCCGCCAAGACTAGCTAATACTAAATGTTGGTTGTGTATATTGGCTTTTAATGTTCCATGAAATAATAATGAAACAGCACTAATAAAACAGCGACGTCAGAAATATCGACAAGATAAGATGTTGGCGGTATCTTTGGCAATGTAAATTTTACCTTAAGATTTTCCGTGATCTGTCACAGTTAATGACAACATTTACGCTTACGTTGACTATAAGAGTAGTTTCTTATTTTTTCAATAACTCCTCTGAACTGACAATGTGACCTTAAGTACTGAAATAGTTTGTGCTTTTGTATGTCCTTTATCATAGCTATGTATCCGTGTTCTGTCACAGATAATGGCTACATTGACGCTTACTTTGTCTTAAAGAGTAGTTCCTTAATTTTTCTCAATAATTTTTCAGATCTTAGATTATGACCTAAAGTATTAAAATAGTTTGTGTTCTTTTTGATGTCCTCCATAATAGCATTAGAGCACACCATGTATCCGACCATTATATCTGGACTGACGAAGTTTGATGTCAGTTTATCCGAGGGACTACAGGGCTATGTCAGCTACCTATTCAATGAGTCAGCTAAACTTGGCTTACGCAAGGGAGGTAGTTAATGTGGTTAAAATAACTGACACTGAGTTTTAATTGGCTTTCAAACATATATTCAGTTATTTTCATTCTGTCGTAAGATTACAGAGAAATGCTGGGTTTTTGTAATAGTCAAGGGATTTTTTTAACCTTGATTTGTGATCTTGTGTTGGGTTTGTCCCTTTTCTGTAGACTTGGTAAATTTATACTATAATCAAATGACCTTCACGGTGTAATGCCCATTCTTAAAGAAACTAGGCGCTAGAGGAGCGTTCACTCGGGCTTCTTTTGAAGCCATGGCGTTCACACCAAACACGAGTACAATTATATCATAGCTTGTAAATTCGTGCAATCAAATTCAATTGTGCGAGCGTGCTTCAATTTCGCCTTGTGCACGCTGGTGACTTCAGCAAACAAATGCCTCGCGAAGAAATTTTTTTCTTGCGAGTGACTTCGAACAAGCCGATGAAGATCTGCCTACTTTTTCTTTGGGAATGGACTCGT